CCAAATTTATATTGCGCTCTCTCAGTACATCATTCCTGATCTAGGGAAAACACTATTGATCAAAGTTATCGTGTACTTCCCTTTTTGGGACAACTATTCTGTTAGTACTAGGGTGGGCTTTTGTGATCCTTAGTCTTCTAGGTACTAGAAGATAACTGTTCTCTTTGCTGAGAGACAAGAGTAAGATAAAAACTTCTGATGCTCTTAGACTGGAAAATGAAGTGCTGGGTTTTTTTTAACAAATCCAAATACTTGATTTGACTGAAGAAATAAAATATCAATGTTTTTAGTGAAGCAGAAGATATGAAAATGGTCGCTTAGGGCTCCATTTCATACTTGTTCTTGTTGTTAGCTATCACTTTTTTTCCACTAACTTCTAAAATAAAAGTTTTAAGCCTCGAGAAAATGTTTGTTTCATTTCTGATTTCAGTTTTAGTAAGGTTAGGACCATATGCACTGCAAGTGGATATTAGTATTAGTCAAACAAATCTGTAAATCAAATGTAACTGTGCCTTAAGCTCAGAGATTTGCCTGCCTGTATGTTAGAGACGCCACATTTTTAGCACTTAAAAGGAGAAATAGAAGTACATTGTGAGTCAGTTTTGCATTGTATTGCAGTACTGAAAAGAAGCACTTGGAAATAACAACTTAATTGTTCTGGCACTTTTAAAGTGCAATGCAAGACGACACGTTTGGACTTTACTCTCTGAGTACCCTTGTTAGAAAGGGAAAAATGTAACTTTTAAAAACCACTGGGGTTAGCAAGAATGTTGCGGGGGGTGGGGGGGTAGTAAAGAAAATTAAAGTTACCACCAGGAGGAGCAGTACTAAAGTATTCTCATTTATTTACTGTCACAGTCCTTTGGTGCTGTAGCTGTAAACTGTCTGTATCTTTGGGAATATCATAATTTTTTGAAGGGTCGGGTACTAATATAGTGTTGTAGAATGCAACTAAAAAAACCCAGAAAGAACGCAAATGAAGAACTTTATTTTTATAAATTATAATCTAGAAAAGAATGATTCTTTTGACATTTGAAATTTTAATCACAGATTTATATCTGTATCCTGGTTTCAGTATGTTATCCTGTTAGCCAGACTGAATCAAAATTAGATGTATTTTTGTGTCTCTTAGTTGAGATGTAATAGACTAATTTTCAGGAGCTGGTGTATTGGTATAGCTGCTAACTACAACTCTCAGTATCTGCTTAGGCCAGCCATTAGAGAAACAGGCACTCAGGCAATGTAGCTGGCTGCTGTACTTATGTCTATACTAGAGGTACATTGTCTGCTGTGTCAGGGAATAACAGGAAAGGAACAAGTTCAGTAAAAAAATAGAAAGTGCCAGATGTTGTAGGGTTTTGGGGCTTGGGTGGGTTCCCCCCCCTTTGTTTTGTTTTGTTGTGTCTATCCTGCCCCTGCCACCTGCCGCCCCGCCCCTGCCATCCCAAGTAATACATTTTACTCATATAGAAAATGTGTATAGTCCACAGCATTATTCCTGAAATGCTGTGCTGTTGTGCATATAATCTAAATCAGACTTTGGAAAGGTGTTGGATTTCCCAGTGATGTTTTCAAATATTGGTATTCCATATGAATTTTATAATTCATTAACTGGATTGTCGTTAGTTCTCTGTTTCACATTTCTGGCCTATTACTGTCACTGATTCAAAATGCTATTGTATCTCTTCATGATATTAGCTCCCTCACCCACTTAGTGGTTAAGTATGTGCTCTACAGATATTTTTCTACATAGTATCAACAAGTTATTTTGCTTGCTTTTGTGACAGGGGTTTTTAAAGAGAACTAAATACTTGAAGTAAGCCAAGTTGATTACCTGTTTCTGAGGTGGACTTCCAAAACTCTTTTGGAGGATTGTTTAATACCTCCATTGAATGTCTGTCTGTCATCTGGGTGCTGTGCATAATGTAAGATGCTGGGTATGATATTTAGTTAAGGATGACTAGCACAAATCCTTGGTGATAGTTCATTGCAAAACAACCAAATCACTTTCTATAAAATGTCATACTGATTTTGGAACCCAAAGAGGTATAATGGGTCATGAAAATCACCGAAATACTCAAAAAACTAGCTGCTGATGCAACGTGGGTGTGTGGGCCACATTTCTGGTATATCCATCCTGCTGTACATCTATGAGAAAGAAGGAAGTTTTTGTTCTTCCTTTATATGGAACATTTTTTATTTTGTAATTTCTTTTAAAGTTTTAAACCTGGAAGTCTAGCAGTACAACTAGGCCACATGATGATGTAAAACTAATTATTTTAATGGTATAAAACTGAGAAGCATCTAAATGATTGCTTCTTAACTTTGTTTTTTTTTAAATGATCTGCTACATTTTGACAAATGTTTCTTCATAGGATGAAGATGAACTGGACTCTCACACCATGGTGAAGACCAGTTCAGAGAGTGCTGGTACCATGAGGGCTACAAGCACGATGAGTGAAGGCGCTCAGACAATGATTGAACACAACAGTACTATGTTAGAATCGGACTTGGGGACCATGGTAATAAATAGCGATGACGATGAAGAGGAAGATGGGACCATGAAAAGTATGGTGTTAATTTACTTTTCTTTTAATAATGTAATATGTCTTCTCATGCTGCATGAGAATGTTGTATCATCAGTGGCTTTTAAGTATCAAGTTTTGTGGTTAAAACAGAAGAGGGGTATTTGTGTAGTCTGTGGAGAAAAAGGTGACTACAGTGGGAGATTGAAAGCAGAAGCCTTGTTTTGGTGCTTTGCTAAGTCTCTCTGGAGGACTCTAAAATTAGCCTTCTGTGAATTCTCCCTTCTACTGCTTGTCTCTTGCTTTTTGTCTCCTGTCTGACATACATTTGGGCCAGTTCCTTGGAGCTAAACCGAAGAAATGTCATGATGTCAGAAGCTGCCCCTTCAGTGTCAGTGGTCCTGGGAACTCATCATGACTCTCTATGGGTTTAGCAATCAGTACACATCTTGCTGCAAAATTCCTTTGTAATTCACAATCAGTTAGCAGATTTTTATTTTATAACTAAGTGTTATTATTTGAACATTTTTTTGGAATGTAATTCAGTAATGCTCGATTTAAGGCAATGATCAAAAGATTGTTGAAACCTAAGTAAAAAGTCCAAATTGACTCCAACAGCACATGAGGGAGTACATAACAAAGAGAAAAAAAAATTGCAAATGTTTTAAAGTATAAAATTATAGGTTACACTGAAATATGCATAAAAACGTATTTGTTAACTACTTAACTTACGTACCTACATGTTGACGTGCTCATTATTTGGCTGAAGACTACTGCACAATTGAGGCCCACTGAATTTAATAGAATTATTTGCTTGAATGGGCAGCATCAATAGATGAATCTAACTCAAGCTGTAGGTGCCTGATTTCATAAGGTACAATGTAATATTTAACTCTAGGCAATTGTTTGGGGTGGGGGGGAGGTAATAAATAAAGCTAATGTCAAGAGTGGAAATTAGTGCCAAATAAATAACTTTGTTGAATGCTTTATAGCAAACATAAAGTTGCAATTGTGCTTGCACATAGACGCCTGATGTAATTTATGCAAGATTTAGTTGGAAGTGCAAAGCAGGAATATGTTTTCTTTGCTGTTTAACGTACAGCAAATTGGAAGGAAGGAAGGGGTTTGTTAATTTTGTTGTTGTTGGGTTTTTTTGAGGTTTGTTTTGTTGGTTTTGGTTTTTTTTCCCCCTAGTGTTCTCAGCAATAAGATAGCAAACATACCTGTTGATTAGTAATTAATTTAAGTAGGGTGATTGACCTCATGAAAACACTCAGTATGTGCTTTAATTTGTTTTCATGCTGAAACAGAATATTTGCCTATTAAACTGTGAGGCTAATGGAGGGTGAGTATAAGCGATCTCAAACATCAATTTCAAGTTAAGGAAAAGATAAGTGATGAAAAAAAAGAGAAAGATATTACAAGCAAATTTGGAGTAAAGGATAATAAAGTAATTCTTAGGGTGGAAGTATTATGAAGAAGGGGTTTGTGTGGCCTTTCAAATTGCTTCAGGCTTGATAACTATTGATGTAGTTTTTATCTGCTGAGAGAAAATACTTGTTAGTATGCCAAACAGATCAAAAATGTGTCATTAGGTTTGCACTGCAGTCTCTTATCTGTGTCCTATTTGTCTGCTATGCTGCTGGAGGCATTCCTTTTAAAATGTACTGTTATTTTCTATTTTTAATTGATTCCAGTAAGAATCTATAGTTAGAAAAGGAATTACCTTTCTACACCTTGGCATTTAGTCAGTATAATTCTTAAACCCATTCTTCTTTCTTGCGAAACAAGAGTATATAATCTTTGGGACAGCAGGTTTCCTTCCCCTGTGTCTTGAGACCTGTAACTCCAGCGATGGAAAGCCAGAAACTGGAGGTAGCCTGATGGCGAGTGATGGTTTCATCATTCCGCTGGCAAGTGACAGGTTTGGTTCCAGCACTTACTTGCTGAACTTTCTTGTATTTTGCATTAAATGCCCATTGATTAAAAACTAGAAATAATTCAAGAATGGGACCTCCACATCTCTCAGCTGAAAATAAATATAAATCATGTCCACTGTAGCTGGTCCTCCTCTGGTTCTGTGATTCATGTGCTATTGGCTGAAACAGGAGCAATAGTAAGTGTCCTAAATAAATGTCACCAGGAAGGGACATACAAATCCTTGCTTTCCCTGAGAGGCAGACACAGATTTTGTGCTGCTTTGTGCTTGACAAAGCCACAAGATTTTGGAGATTGGTTGCTTTTTCTAGTGTACCTTTATAGGCAAGGTGAGTGTACCTTTATAGGCAAGGTGGGCACTTTCTAGATGTCTGTGTGATTTGATTATAATAAATCAGAACAGGTAGCTTAAAAGTACTCTGATACTTCTGAATAATAGAACATTGCAAACAAGAAGGTTGGAGAAATAGACTTAGTTAACTAGGGAAGAGGGATTTCATTTCCTTCCTAGAGACACAAAGTATTTATGACAAACTTTTTTTAATTGTTCTTGTGTTTAGCTTCACATTTTGTTTCCTTCTGCCTTTTGTTTCCCTGCTCAAGGACAAAATAAGAAACAATAATAAGTTTTTATTTATAAGTGCCCATGCTTAGAGGCCTCTGGGAGCTATGACAGAAAATAACTAAAACCATATTTTTTTCACAAATAGGGAATTGTGCCCAGATAAAATTGGGATTTGGAACAAAAAGAGGCCTGTCATTCTACCCCAACATACAATGTACAGCCTAGCAATAAACAACATTTATGCGTTCTTGCTTAGTATGCCTGTGCATGCTCTGAGCAAAGACTATGCAGTATATACCTAGAAGGAGTGAAGGAAATGCAGAATATAGAGAGGTGGGAGGACAGAGCTTAGCTTTAGGAGGTTTAACGTGGAGTGGAAGAAAGAGTGAGATTGATGGAAGGTAGTACTACTTTTGTTCAGGTGCTCAGATTGTACTTATTTTCATGTAGAAGCTGTAGAAGCTTCTTCATATCTCAGTTCAGAGACGGGTATTCAGACCAGCTTTCCTGCATTGCCTTTGTGGCTTTTCAGCAAGGCTTAGCGTTAGGGCTTTCTGGTTCGCCAAGAATACTTCTGATTTTTATCCTTTCTCCTTTTTGTTAACACCACACCCGCTGCTTCCCCCCCCCCGCCCCCCCTGCTTTTTTTTTTTTTTCCCCCTGTTAACTTTATATTTACTATCTACTTTGGGCTGGCAAACAAGTTGCCTCTTCTTGCCATTTGGGACTTATTCCGTGTTTCTAACTGTTGCTTCAGACAAGCTTCTAGATAGTTCATGGTTGGTAATGAATATATTAAAAGAAGAGGACAGTGAACTAATGAAGTGGCATTTGACAGATAGAGTGTAGAAAAGTGGTCAGGTTTTTGTTTTATTACTTTTTGCCCTATAAGACATGAGATGTTTTAGCTTTAGTCAGCAACATTCTTCCTTCATATCAAACAGAAGAATATAATCTTTGGGACAGCAGGCTTCCTTCTCCTCCCTCCTTCCCCATAGGTGTCTCTCTTGATACCTGTAACACCTGCAAAGGAAAGCCAGCAAACTGGAGGTAGCTTGATGGCAAGTGATGGTTTCATCATTCAGCTGGCAAGCAACAGGTTTGGTTCCAGCGCTTAGCTGCTGAACTTTCTTGTGTTATGTATTATGGGAACCTTGGTTACAGTGGGACATGCACCATGCTGTAGAACCTACATTTTGAAAGGTGAATTCATGAGTTGGTTTTATTGATTTATTATTTTTTAGTGATTTCAGTCCATCCAGTATAAGAGATTGTGCCATACTGTAAGTCAGTCTCCTCTGTAATCAGAGGTGGATGCATGGGTAGCTCTGGAGTGATGCTTCATAACTCTTAGAAAGGCCTAAGTCCGACAGCTGTTTTTTCAACTGAAAAGCAAAAGCGATTGATATGTGTTTTATAATAACCTATGACCCAGGTCCTATAGCAATTCAGCAAGGAAGCTTAATTATGGGCTGTTTTCAGTGGTGCTGTGACATGGGCATTGGTACTTCATGGATGTAGTTTTGTTCAAGCATGTTTACTGTGCCCATGTTAAGATGGTTTGCTTGATGCCACATGCAGGTATACTAGTACTTTACTCCTGTATATATAGAAAAAGATGATAGCTGTTTCCAAGCCTATTCCAGTCCTTGAGCCCTCTCCTGTGATTGGTAATAAAGTTGTTCATTTATGCCACTAGTAGTAGTATCTTTTACAAGTGAGAATCTTCTTCAAAGAAAAGCACCATGTTGGCAGTTCTGCTTCAAGAGCTGTTGCAAAATGCTAGCTTAACATGGATTTTCTTTGTTTTGCTGAAAGCAGAAATAAAGTATAATTCAGCTGGAATGAACTAATGGGTTTATAATAGTAGTGGCATTGAGTATTTTTATTTCTTCTCCAGAAGGTGGAAAAATAGAATAAAAGTTATTAAACCAGTTTTACAAGTTTCATTCTCAGGAAGCGAAGCAATGGCTTATACAGGAAACTCTTTTCCCTTTTAAAAAGCCATTAAACTTGAGTTTACAGTCCTTCAAAAAGCCTGTGAAGGCTTCAGCTGGTTGAAAAATCTGTGGATCTTCCATTTAAATGCCAGCTGCAATTATTTCTGGTAAATAGCTATATTATAAAACAACAACAACAACAAAACGAATGAGGCCTGAATTTGAGTGAAGACTTGGGTGCGTAAGTCACTGTGATGTGAAAACTGCAAACTTGGTAACTACTTTGTTACACAACTGTCTAGTCAAACATCTTTTAGATACATCCTTTGGTAGACTCCCAGCTGCTCTGGCCTAAGGAACTGGTGATGTAGTTTCTGCTGATGCTTCCTTGCGATTCAGAAACTAAGTAGACTGACCTCTCATTCTCTGAGGTGGTTGTCTAATAGGCACGTATTAGCAGCAGAACTTGCCACTCATAAAATACAGTCACAATTTCTGCTTAAAATATGGCTGAAGGAAGGTGGCTGTGGCAACTTTCTACATAGTAGTTCACCATTAAGTGCGTTTGCCTGGAGATTGAGGTAAAAATTCCAGGCTCTCTTCAACCTTATTTTATTCAAAGCTCCTGTCTCCCATTTCCCAGGAGAACTGCTGCCACTGTGCTGTAGGCCACCTTGCGTGGTGAGAAAGTAGTGGTAGGAATGTATGAAATACAAAGCCTAGGTAGTATATGTTGTTGTGTAAGCTGTTGTAGCCTTTGTAGTAGAGGTGATAGTCCAAAGAAGGCTAAAAGCTGATTGCAATACAGCTTCTCACTCTAATAGTTACAAAGCAATATATTTTGAGGGAATAAAGATACTGACAGGATCTTCGCAGAAGCATTGCAGATAGGAGGGCCTGATCCCCTAACTTCACCAAAGAGGCAGCAGCTACAAATGTTCTTCAGTTGAGTGGCATATGGAGATCTCCAGGATGGGGAAGGCTGTGCAAGCTTGTGGCTTTTGGCAAAAGGAGGAAAGCTTTCCTCTGTAGATTTGCATCTGCAGAAGAGGTCCAGTGCCCTGGTGTGGTAATGGAGCAAGAGAAAGACTTAGAGACTTCCCATAGGAAATTGTAAAAATCCCATAAACCCCCAAACAAACAAATAAAAAACCACCACCTGCCTCCTCCCAGGAAATTGTAGTGGGAGACTCCCTTCTGTAGGAGATGGATACCCTTGTCTGCTGACCTTACTTGCTATCTAAGAAAAGTTATTTCTTGCCCAGGGCCCAGCCCCCAGCCCTGCAACACTGAAAGACTGCCAGGGCTTGTCTGGGGCTTAGACTATTGTCTCCTGCTGCCAGTCCACGTGGGCGCATGCCAATGATACTGCCAGAGGAGACCTTGAGAGTGACATCAAGAGTAACTCCAAGGTTATGAGGATGTTCTTGATCGTGATGGTGAAGGGAAAGCTTTGGAGGACTGGATGGATCCTATGGGTTGACACTTGGTTGTGCCTCTAGGGTTGTTGACAGAGGTTTGACTCTTATGACCATGGGGCCCTTTTTGAGGATCAGGGACTGCTGTGGAGAGATGGGTTCCACCTGACAAAGTAAAGCAAGAGTGGTTTTTTGCCAATGAGCTGGCCCTGAATTAGCCAGACCATCATGGGAGAACTTAAATGTGGCTCAGCCCAACACAGAGTATAAAAATTTAACAACTAACAACAGAACTTTTTAACCAATTTAAAATCAATTTAATATATTAATATAATATTTTTCTGTGGGATATACATCACTACAAAAGCATTTTTATTTATAGATTACATCAATTGAATTTGATCAATTACATCAAATGCATTAGAATAGAATGTGCATTCCTTCTTCGTTTGAAATGTGTGTTTAGAATTATTTATTTTAGTTGTGATAAGTTTTTGAAACAGTGTAACAGAGTTGATGTTATGTCATTGCCTCATTCACTTTATCCAGCATACTTTTTGGAAGAAATTTTCGTAATGTAACTATTTGAGGACATCCCCATTGGCTGTATTCCTATCAGGGGTATTGCTGAGGTAGAATGTATGCTTTCAGTGTCCATGGTGGTCTCTGCGTTCCATGGCTTGCCAGCAATTTCTCGGACTACAATTTTTATTGTAGCTTTCTTCCCAAAGCCATCTTGAAGTCCTGCAGTGGGCAAATATAGGAATGATAAAAGAGACTGGTATTCTTAAATGTTGAAACTGTGGCAAACATTTTTAAACATGATCATCTCCTGTTAAGAGTAAAGAAAAATGAGAAGAACTGGAAAATCCACATCCTCCTAGAATGGAACAGCCTATTGCACAATAGGTTTTCAGTGCAAGTGTGCACTGATACTGTTTGTGCTGCTGATTTTTTGTGGCAAATATATAGCTTTTGTAAAAGGTAACTTACTGGATAGTTGAGTGAATTAATTGTCCTCAAAGGACTCTTTATATATTGTACTTTTAAATTTCTTGCTTCTTGAAAGACAGTTGACAAGATACTGTTACTCTGTTGTTCATGAAAGTTAGAAAAAGTGCTTTCAGACCAAAATAATCTTCTAATAACATTGTAGTTTGCAAAAAAAGTGCAACCTACATCAGTTTACTCTGGCATAAAGAGCCTGAGTGTTTTGTAAAGTCAATACAAAAGAGGTAGGAGCATTCACAGGGCCTTTAAACTAGTAGCTGTCAACCTATCCCATTTTCCATGAAATATTATCTTTTTGTGTATCTTACATTTGTGTAAAGTTAGCTAGAGATCTAAAAAAGAGTCTCTAATTTAATTATTTGTAAAATTTTTTTTTTTTTTACACTGGGGAAAAACAAACCTTGAAACACCTCTGGTCCCATCATTTTGCAGGCATAATATTTCTGGTTTTGTTTGGTTTTGTATTTGCAGTGAAGGTGAGCAGCTGTTGTTCTTTTAAATGGGTTAACTAACTATATTAAATTGGAGTCAGAAGTGGGTTCTAAATTCTAATTATCAAAACAAATAGAGCGAGTTCTCAAAGTGTAAAATAAATGTGCTTTGCTCATTTTGGAGTCATTTCAGTCCTGTTGACCCACTTTCCTTAATATCCATTTGATGGCAAGGAATTTGGAGGGTTTGTTTTGTTTTACATATGTAGGCAGTCTTCTATTACCTATATAAGGAAGATATATATAAATAGCTCTAAAACTTAAGAGCAGTGCTTGGAAAGTCTTTGGTATTTCCTGTTACATGAAAAGAAGGAGACTCTTACCTGTAATGGGCCAACATTCTGGTACTAACAGAGTTTCTAACAGAGATACTGGTAATCTTCTTGTTTATAAGTGTGTCTCAAGGATGAAACATAAGTACAACCATCTCTCCAGAAGAAAAAAATTGATTATGAAATGCCAGCAATGTGGTGTCCTATCTTTTTGGTACAAATAAGTTTCAGGGTTTTGGGGCAGCGATCAACAAGTAATAAAAAGTTTGTATTAAGAAAATGCATTCTATTTCTGTTTTTAATTCCACCTCCTTCATACTACTACCTTCTCTTGGATCTGTTTTCTAAATTTATGCTTTGCTGAAGTTGCAATTCTTCCATTTTTGCCCTTAAGTGCTTATTTCTATAGTTATTTGGCATCCCTGCTGTTTACTTCTCATCTCTTCCTCAGTCCCACACTCGAGATCCAGAAACCTCATTCAAGTGATCTTGAGTTCAGTGGGGGCAAACTTGGGAGATTCTGGACAAGAGGTATCTACAATGTGGTCTGTTTAATTCAGCCTGGAGTTTAGTTCACTGAATGTTTTTGTTATGGTAATGGTTGTCATAAATTAAAAGATGGTGAGTAGAGATAACTGTGATCTGGGATTAGAAAAGAATATTAGAAAAGAACATGGCAACAACTGAGAAAAAAGTCAGCTTAAAAAAAAATGTGAGGAGGAGAAGTTGTGTATGGAAACATAGCAGACTGAATGGAGGAATCATTGTGGAGTTGAAGAAAAGCAATTAGAGTCAAGTGCCATAAAGCCTAGAGCAAGACAGTAGAACAACACATTAAAAAAGCCAGAAGAAATCTTGCTAGAACAGAATAATGTAGAAAAAGCAGAAAGAAAAGAACAAGTAAATCAACATGCTATAAAAGATGGCAGTACAAAAATAGGCATTAATGGAAAAAATAGGCTGCTATTAATCATGCAGCAAAATTAGAGTGAATTAAAATAATCTTTAGACAGAGGGAATGGGAAGAGATGATGAAATAAGGGGTGAAAGAGGAGGGGAAAAGAACCACTTAATGAATTAATAAAAACAAATGTAAAGACAGGTAAGAAGATCAGCAAGTCCTAGTGATCATGTTAAACACAAGCTGAAAAGATATTTCCAGTGGTTTACCTTTTCACTTGTTGAAATGAGTAGTTCAAATAAAAATTCCTAATTATTTTATTATGCTTATAATTAAGAAGTATAGTTCTACCTGTGGGTCATTTTTTGTTTTGGGTTTTTTTTTGGTTGGTTGGTTGGTTTGGTTTTTTCCTAGCTTGGTTATTCATATCTCTCACCCTGTTCCATGTTTTACTTGTGGAAATGTATTTCATATTTCTCTACGTAGAACGTGTTACACTGCAAGCAAGTACATGTTTCATGAATCAATGCTATGCAGAATATAGTCTCTGAGATGACGGTTATATAGAACTGCTAAAGCATTTCTTATTTTTTATTTATTGTTCTGTTTAGTAATGAATTTGCTTTGAAGTCCCACAAATGAAAACAAATTTCAGTCATTTAGGGTTGTAGATAAATTTTTTTACATTTAGTTTCATGAAAAGGGTAATAGAATGGGAGTTCACACTGATCTCTCTCTGCTTCGTAAAGCTTTTGCAGCTGTGTAGATGATGACAAAAATCCCCCAGGGTTTCCACACCATGGAGATAGGGTGCTTTGCAGCCATCTGTAGAGTGTTATCCCATAATTCGCTGAGAATCCTTATTGGCAATGAATTTAATTAAGCAGTGTCTAGACACAGTTTGTGTGGTTGTTTTTTGCAAGTTCTTTTTCTAAATAATTTTTAAATCGCACCTTTGGTGAAACTGATGAAACTCTCTTGCTTTCCTACAAGTGCCTGTGGACCAGGCCTTGAAGTTAGGGGCATTCAGCACCCAAAGGTATACTTAGCACCTTGTGTTATTCAGTCTCTATAACAACAAATAGATATTGCATGAAGTAACTTCTAATATTATTTGTGTGTGCAACTCTGAAATGTCTTGAACATTTCTCCACATTGCAACTTGCTAGAAAAATATCATTCTTTGGCTATGAGCTTTTATGCCAAAGATCCTCAAGGGACAAATGGAGGCTTGCACCGCATAGAGATGACTGTATTAGTTTCTGTAAAATCCAAGAAAATTAATAAATGGCATTTACTTTATAGTGCAGCAAATCTTTAATTTTTAAATAGTTCTAACTTCTTTTTCTTTTTTCTTTCAACTAAGGAAATGCTACTTCACCGCAAGTTCAAAGACCTTCTTTCATGGACTACTTTGATAAACAAGATTCCAAGAATAAAAGCCCTGAAAACTGTAATCAGAACATGCATGAACCTTACCACATATCCAAAAATGTTTTCCCTGATAACTGGAAAGTCCCTCAAGATGGAGACTTTGATTTTGTAAGTACATTTTTATTGTTTACTTTCTTGCATGCTGTTTATTTTTTATGTGCCAGAAATAATTAATCCCTTTCTATAGCTATGTTAATACAAATAAAATAAGTAAACTTTCAAGAATACCATCCAATTACCTAATCTTAATGCTTCATCCTGGTTGTTGAAATAAGTACATTTGCTTAACGCAGGTTGTTTTTAATGAGGAGCAGTATGTGACATTATGAATATACTTCTTTGTAACTACTTTTTTTTTTTAAGTATTTTTGGTTTTTTATAATTTATGTATTGTAACAACTTTAAAAATTGATCTGGTTCTATTTTAAAAAAAAAAAAAAAATTGCTACAAGCGTGGGAAGTTGTCATGTTTGCCGAGTATCTCAGTAAAATGATAAGCATTTTAAAATGGATTAGAGCCATTTAATCAATCTCTTTGGAGATGGTTGAGATCACCTACTGTTTTGCACAAGCCAGCTTGTTGGTACTATTCCAATAGTGCACCTCTCTCTGTGTAGAATTATTCTATCTGACACCAGTCTGTCCATCTTAGGGTGGAGTTTTTCATCCTCCAAAATGCATGCAGTTTATTTCTTTTTGCTATGTTGCAGATTATAACAGGGGCAAAAAGAGAATGTTCCTAAGTTATAGGCTACTCTTAAAGTGAAATAAATAATTACTGTTTCGAGACTTGTAGATAATTATATCTGGTTTTCACCTTTGTTAATTTTTTTAACATGCTTGAATGAAAGAATTTAGTTTATCTGTTGTAGATTAAACATGTTCTTAACTGCAGTGCAGTAGCTAAATATGATTGCATGGCACCTTTTTGAAAGTACACTTGGGACACTTGGGATTTGGAGAAAAATGCTGCGTTTAATTTTAGGTGACAGCTGTAGGTGTGGGATTTTTTCCCCAGTTTTTATTTACTGCGTTTCTACATAAACCTGACTCTTAAATTTAAGCTATTGAAGTAAAGCCAGTTAAATAGCACAGTACAAACTGTTGCTGCTGGAGAGTTTTGGTTAAGTTGGATTTTTGTTTGGGTCGGGTTTTGTTGCGCTTTTTTTTTACCATAAAATGCAGTAGTCATCATCCTGATAATTGACTAACAAAATAATTATTTGCACCATTCACTGGAAAATAACTAATTATTAATAAAGTGGGGTTATTATAGTGGCAATAAAATTGCCCTTAGAACAATTTAAAATTCATCCTATCTTTTCCATTCCTTGTTAAGAAATGCAAGCAAAAATGATTCTTCTTCTAAATGCTAGGATCTTGATTCTGTAAGTGCTTATTCATGAATAATTCGCGCATGGATAATCCTGTCGGACTTGGTGACGTTGCTTGTACATATGAAGTTGACTTCTTGAAATAGGAATTTGTCCCAGAACCAAACCTGAGGAGTTCTGATTTTCAGAAACTAACTGCTCTCTGTGTTGTAGGCAACCCTTGCTAGTGGTCTTAGACTGGCAAGTCAAAGACTTCAGAATCATAGAATCGTAGAATCGTTTAGGTTGGAAAAGACCGTTAAGATCATCCAGTCCAACCATTAATGTACACTACCAAGTCCACACTAAACCAATCAAGGGTAGACTAGACTAAACCATGTCCCGAAGTGCCACATCTACCCGTTTTTTGAACACTTCCAGGGATGGTGACTCCACCACCTCTCTGGGCAGCCTGTTCCAACTCTTGACCACCCTTTCTGTAAAGAAATTTCTCCTAATTTCCAATCTAAACCTCCCCTGGCACAGCTTGAGCCCATTTCCTCTCGTCCTATCGCTAGCTACTTGGGAGAAGAGACCAACACCCACCTCAGTACAACCTCCTTTCAGGGAATTGTAGAGAGCGATAAGGTCTCCCCTCAGCCTCCTCTTTTCCAGGCTAAACAACCCCAGTTCCCTCAGCCGCTCCTCATAAGGCCTGTGCTCCAGACCCTTCACCAGCCTTGTTGCCCTTCTCTGGATATGCTCCAGCACCTCAATGTCTTTCTTGTAGTGAGGGGCCCAAAACTGGACACAGTATTCCAGGTGCGGCCTCACCAGCGCCGAGTACAGGGGGACAATGA